GAGGAAAAGCAATCAGGGTGACTTCAGTCATCTAGAAAGAGAAAATAGTGGCATGGACAAAGTTATGGGAGTAGATGGGGAAGAAGAACTGGATGGTGTGTACATTTTGAAGGTTGAGCTCATGAGATTGTTGACAATTGAGTAGAGGGTGTATGAAAAACGGAGGCTCAAAGATAACGACAATGTTCATAGCCTGAGTATCTAGAATAATTAACATGAAACTTACTGAGATGCGGAAAAGCAAGTTTGGGAAGGAGGGAGCAATAAAAAGTTTGGTTTGAAAAGTATTAAAGTGTTTAGACTGAATGATGAAAATATTGAAAAGAATAAAGTATTTACATGAAGGTCCTTAATATATTTAGGGAAAAATAATCATTCCCCATTGTTTCATATTGCAGGTTGTCTACCTTCATAACAACAATATCTCTGTAGTTGGAACAAATGACTTCTGCCCACCTGGGTACAACACCAAGAAGGCTTCTTATTCGGGTGTGAGTCTTTTCAGCAACCCGGTCCAGTACTGGGAGATCCAGCCATCCACCTTCCGATGTGTCTATGTGCGCTCTGCCATTCAGCTCGGAAACTACAAGTAATTCTTAAGAAAGCCCTCATTTTTATAACCTGGCAAAATCTCATTAATGTAATTGCTAAAAATAAGTAAATAAATAAAAGCTAGATACTGGAAACCTAACTTCAATGTGGATGTGTTACCCACATGACTTATTATGCATAAAGCCAAATATGCAGTTTAAATAATTGCCTATAATAAAAAAAAATACTTTGCCTGCCATTTTCAGAATCATTTTTTGAAGCTTTCTGTTGATGTTAACTGAGCTACTACAGATATTCTTTTTTCACTAAATGTAAAATTTGGAGTAAATATATATGTCAACATTTAGTAAAGCTTTTTTTTTGATTTTCAGAAAAAAAATCAAATAAAAAGAGTATCAGTCTTCTGTAATTCATTGAACAATCAGCTCCTTTGACATAAAGTCAAATGCCAAACACTTGCTCTGTATTAATCCCCATTATTACTGGTAAAGCCTCATTTGAATGTGTGAATTCAATACAGGCTATGTAAAATTTTTTGCTAATGTCAATCTTTTGAAAAAATAAATTAAAAAATACATTCAAAATTACCATCGTATAAAAGCTTAATTATAAATATTCCCTGAAGTCAGTGTTCTGAAGAGAGTAGACATTGCTTTGTTCACAATGACAGCACATCTTTTCAAGTTCTCAGCCATTTCTTCTACCCGTCTATTACATTTTAGTATGGTAACTTACATTATCCATGTTCAATGGTAAGATTATTGGGCACAAAGCATACTTTTTCTGATGGTGTAGAGCACTAATATTTCCAATCGCTAATTAACTAAATCAATTTAAAACTACCGTACACATATAATCAGGCTGCTTGTCTGAGCATTTTTGCAATTGCTAGATGTATTAGAAATACTTACTGTCTTTAGTAAACCATCAATTTTATAAATTTTTTCTATAGAATTCAGAAACATCTATCAAAGCAGACAATTCAACAAACCTGGGGAATGGGCTGATTTACTTAGAGTAAATATTTATTAAATTGTACATTTATGTTATCTGTAACTAATAAGTAAACACAAAAGGTAATGTATGTTTTATAGTTGCAAATCCTAAAAAAAAAAAAAAAATTCCAAACTGTTTTAAACTATAAATAGAAATAAAAATAGTCCTGCTATCAGTTAAGCCTTCAGGTACAGTTTGATCAGACCTCTGGTCAAGTTTCTCTACAGTTCTTTTAGTGTTACCTTTCTTCATTTCATTTTCAGGGTGGCTTCCCGCATGGTGGGAAAATATAAATCTCTCCTGTTATTTATCACATTCAGAAAACACAAGCATGTTATCTCAAAATTTCTAGGAATAGTTATGAATTCTCTCTAATTATTACATACCTACTCCACAATCTATTTTTGCAGAGAAGTAAACTGAGGTTAGGATAAATTAAACAACTTTCTCATAGTAAAATACCTGGTAAGTATCTGGCACCAGTGCTTTCTCCTTTAAATGTGCATAAATTGGGGTCTGGTGCAAACAAAATTTGCTCCAGAGGGTTAAAATGAAGATGATTTGATGAAGGGACTGTTATAGAGTGTGGTAAGATTTTACTGAACCAAACAGGGGATGATGGAGAGGCACCCAGAGATGGGCAATGAGGGGAATCCATTTCCACCCATAGGCTAAATGGTCAGGGAAGGAACTGAGTTTCTGGAGCCAAGTGAGTCAACTCAGAGGATTTCAATCCCCAGACAGCTATGATCCTGGAAGGGATTCAATTTCCACACGGGTGAAATACCGAAGCAGAGTATCTACTTTCTGTCACTTCAGACACAGCTGCTGATACCTCCTACTGATCAAGCCCAAGGGGGAAGAAAACCAAGAAAAAAGCCAGGGAGATGAACAGCAGGGCAGAGAAGGGAGGGAAATGGATTTGGTCAGGACCCATGGAGAATAGCTAGTCCATCTAGCTAGTGTAACAGTAGCATTATTGAATGAATATCGCCAGCCACAGATAAGCATGACATTGACATCATATGTGGCACACTGTTTCTGAACTACAATTATAGATTATTATAGACTTTTCTGCATTTGTCAGAGGTGCAAAGAAATTAAAAATATTTGATGAAACTTTGTCAAATGCTTGGCTGACTCTGGTTTTCCTTCATGAAATACCAAGCTGTTTTTTACCATGTCTATGCCTAAAGCAGTCTTCACTTATTTAAAATGATATGGTTGATGTTAAACATCAAAGTATAAACAGAAAACTTATACACTGTCAATCTTAATGGGAAGTCAATTATATATTATATAAATATAGTAGAAAGCAAAAATAACTTTTGGATAATTATGAGAATTGTGAGAATGAGAGTACAGAGCTCTAAGTTGCTGCAGTTAAAGTCGTATTTTCCCTAATACTAATTACTGCCTGAAATGCACAAAGCCTTTGTATGAACTATTTACCTACATGTTAGACTTTCATGAAGTGATTATGTCCGTAATATTTATTCATAGCCTGGTATTAGGCAATAACTGGGAGAGGATATTAATTGATTTTGTATATTCACTTTATTCATTCATTAATTCATTCAATAAAGTAGCACTAAATATATCGCAGACCTAAGATAACTCATGGTAGGGAGTTGTACACAACGACATCAGATACTTATTTCTGGAGTTTATTAAAAGTGCATACAAATTTCCAACTTCTGTGCTAGGCTTTTTTGGGACTATATCTTTACTTTTCATGGAAATCCCATAAGAATATATTATTCCCATTTCACAGATGAGGAAATTGAGATATAGTAAATGCAGAGTAGGAATTATAATCCTGCTACGTGCTGATTCGGAGGTCAGTCTTCGCTTTTGCAACAGTTTATACAATCCATGATATATGGAGACCAAAGGGGTGGTCTTAAAAACTAAGAAGGGAATCTATTTATGGTTCTTAGAAGTTCCTCTAGGGTAATAGATTAGGGTCTTGAAGTGCATGGTGCCATAGGATAATAACTGTCATTTATTGGATACTATGCCGTAATGGTTTACATACAATATCTTATTTATTATTTACAATAGCCCTATGTGCTTCATGTGGTTATTTAACACTACTTTTACCCATAAGGAAACGGAGCCCCAGAGAGGTCAAATAATTCACCTATGGACACACAGCTTGTAAGGAAGAAAGGCAAACTTTTTGTCACTTTATAGTCAAGCCGATTTGCCTTCTGCTACTTTAGGAAAGAAGTTACTCATGTCTAACTATTGAGAATCATGGAATATCCACAGCATCCCCCATCTTCTTTTCAATACTGTGAAGGGCTATAAAATAATGGGTAATCCCATCAGCTTGAATTAGCATTGTTACATTTGAAACGGATGTATTTGTTCATTAAAAAAATCAAAATATTTTACAAACTGTTTGATTTTGAAAATGTACTATATCAACACTTTCCAGTATGGTATCCACTAGGCAACCACATGTGACTATGGAGAACTGTAAATGTATTAATGCAATTGAATAACTACATTTTAAATTTTATTTCATTATAATAAATTTAAATTCAAATAGTCACATATAACTAATTGATATCATATTGAACAGGGCCATTCTTTACACTACCAATGAGTTTAATATGACTCTTACAGCACAGAGTAGATTTCTATGCATGCAAGAATATTTACTAGGCCTATGCCGAACACTGGGGATATAAGAATGAATAAGACACCATCCTTGACTTTAAGGTGATCATAGTTTAATAGAAGAAACAGTAATTGAAATACAACAGAATACATTTTAATAATTTATTAAATATTTGAAATATAGCAAACAACTGAAATATAGCATGATAAATTTTATCATAGAAATACATGCAAGTTACATCAGTGATAGAGAGGGGTGATCACTTCTGCCAACTGTAGAATGATTGCAAAGGAACATGGAAGACTTTATTGAGGAGATAATGGTTGAGATGGGTTTTGATATATGCATAAGAGTTCAACAGGAAGATTTGGTGGGGAGGTGCTATTCAAGGCAGAGAGTAAATTCAAAGACCAAGATGTGCCTGGACACATCTTTGATAGGCTGGCATAAAGCAGGACTTCATTAAGTTCTTTTCCTTCTTCTGAAGCAGAAGTAGTAGTTTTTCATATACATTTGATATATAAAGAGCTAATAATAACATTAGGGGAAGCTACCATTTTCCCTCTTTCCACCGTATTATGAGACCACAAAGTGTGAATTTCTCAGTATGTTCAACAGGAGGAAGGAAATTTCTTTCTTTTCTTCTCTTTTTCATTTCACAAGAGACCCCACTGTCATGACTACAGGTGAAGAGGTGGTTTCAATTGGAAGGAATTCAGATGTTCAAGGTCCGTGTCCATCACTGGACATTTGTTTTTCCAAAGCTGGACCTTGAATGATGCACCCTCTGGGTTGTAGCCTTCCTCTCACAGGCGAAAGCCTGCAGCTATCCTGATGCTTAACTGGAAACTGGGGTGAGGGATAAGCAGAAACAGAAAGAGGAGAAGACCATCTTGGATGTTCATCTGCAAGGCAGATCCTCCAACACACATATTTCTACTTTGGCAGTCAGGTTATTTCTACTTTGGTTTAGTATCTCAAGTAGAGCGAGACCTGGTACTTCAGCACCCCTCTCTTAAATATCAGCACAACTCTTCCTTTATTATATATCTTTCCATTGAAGTAAAGATAAATGTAGCTCATTTCTTTGACTTCAATACTTACTACTTACATGACTAAAGGAAATTACTTAACCTTTCCATGGCTCATCTTCTTGTCTGTAAAATGGGAATATTAATAGTACATATCTTATAGGTCCATGTGTAAATTAAATGAGTTAACGTAGGGTGTGACTTTGAGATCTGAGCCAAGTACATGGGAAGGTCTCAAATATGTCTGTTGATATTGCTGTTGTTATTCCTGATACATAGTTTGGGCTGCAATCACCTCAAGGTAAACTCTTACGTCTCTGGTCTGGATTGGGATCTGAGATTCTGCATTTCGAACAAGCTCCAGGAATGTTGCTTCTCCTTGATCCATACTTTGAGGAATAAGGCAATAGAGAGTCAGTCCTCTCATTTGTTATTGCACCATGTCTGTCTTTTGTCTCCTGCTGATTGGCCCCTGGAAGAAATTTCCATTGCGTTAGTTTCTTAGAGCTTCTGTAACAAAGAATCTCAAATTGGGTGGCTTAAAATGACAATCTATTCTTTCATAGTTTTAGAGGGTAGAAGTTAAAAACCAAGGTGTCAGCAGGGCCCTGCTCAAAATGTCTAGGGGAGGATGCTTCCTTGCTGCTTGTAGCCTGCGGGTAGCTTTGGGTGTTCTTTGGCTTGTGGCAGTATGACTCCAATTTCTGCCTCTATATTCACATGGCCTTCTTCTCTCATGTGTCTGTGTCTGTTCTTTTCTCAAAAAGACACCAATTATATTGGATTAGGGATCACCTCAATTCAGTATGAGCTCATCTTAACTAGATTACATCTTTAAAGACCCTATTTCCAAATAAAGACATTCACACGTATTGGGGATTAGATCTTGAATATATCTTTTGGGAGGAGGCACATGTTAACCATTAACACC